TTACTTAAATAATATTTAATAATTTTAAATTCTTAATTAGCTATTATTCTTTAATATAAAATAAATAATATTTAATAATAAGCTTATAAAGATAATATAAGAATATTTCTTAAGCATTAACTTTTATCTTAAGCTAAGAAAATTAGCTAAATTAATAAATTTAATAAGATAATATTAAGCCTTTTTTACTTTTAATTTTTTTAATATAAAAGGAATGCTTTATAAATATAAAGAATTAAAGATTTAGCATATTATAATTTTTATAATTTAGCAACTTTTTAACTTTTAAAATATTATATTTTTACTTAAAGAATTTTTATATTATAATTATACTTTATTTAAGAAATATTAATAATATAAATTAATAAAGAATTATAAATTTATTATTATATTTATTTATATGCTTAATTATTAAATAATGGTAATTTTTAATAAAATGGAGAATTATTACTTATTATAAAATAGTTTTATATTAAGAAATAAAAAGAGTAAAATAAATAAGGATGCTAAAGCGCTTATTTATAAATATTTAATAACTATTTTAAAAAATAAAATATAAGATTTTAATAAAGAGTTTGCATTAAAATTAAGATAAGTTAATAAAATATCTTATAAATAATATATTATTAAATTTATTAAAAATTACTTTAAAGAAAATTAAAAAAAGAATAATTAAAAAGTATAAAATTAAGCTAAGACTTTTTTAATTAAAATTATATATTATAAAATGCCTAAAGCTATTATTAATATTATTATTTAAATATTTATTATTTAATTAAAGCTTAATAAAATTAATAAAGCTATTTAAATATTTATATTAATTTTCTTTATTAAAATTAATAATATAAAAATAATTAAAGTAAGAAATAAGCTTTTATTATAAAGAGATATTATTTAATAACAGCTATTTAAATTATAATATATTGAAATTATTATTAATTGCAAAAAGGGCGTAAGGGAAATAATACTTTTAATATAAATTAATTTAATAACTTAATTTTAAATATTTAATATATAATAAAGCATAAACTTTTAAATAACTTAAAATTAATTAAGCATAATTTTAATTAAATAAGCCTTTAGCTTAAGCATTATATTATAAGATATTTTAAAGCTAATAAGAAATATTTATCTTAATATATATAAAGATCTTTTTTATTTACTTATCTTAATAATAAATATAAATAAAACTTAAAGCATATTAATTAATTTAAAATAATTAAAATAATAATAAAGTTTACTTAAGAATAATTTAAAAGGCTTATAAATAAGTTAATTAAGTAATTAAATGTAAAGTATAGATTAAAAGCGAAAGTATTATAAAAAGTAAAAACGAAAGTAAAAGCTTTATAAAAAGCAAGAGCGAAAGTTAATAAAGCTAATATATTATGCTTAATGCAATAATTAAAAGAAAGAATAAATTTGCTTTTTATTTTATAAAAATATTTAAATCTTTAATAGCTATGCTAATATTAATTATTAAAGTAAATTTTAATAGCTAAAAAAATATAATTAATAAATATATTGTTAAGTAAGTTTTAAGAATATTTAAAACTTTTATAAAAAAGCAAAAGCTATAATAAAATAAGCAAGCAAGGAATTAAAGATAGCAATAATAATTAAGATTATAGCAAGATAAATTTTAAAACTTATAAGCTTAATTAAAAATAATAAAGTTTTATTTTAACGGTTTTTGCAATATTTATTATAAAGTATTTAAAGAGGGGTATATTAATAAATATAGAGAATTATATAAGAAATAATATCGCGTTAAATTCCGGCTAGCTATAAAAAGCTAACTTTTATGCTTATTTTAAATATTCTTTTAAGAAATTAACTTTTTTCTTTTTATATATATTTAGTGCTTTAATTAAGCTTTTTTTATTTTTAAGAATTTTTAAAATATTTATCTTTTTTCTTTTTTTAGTTCCCTTTTATTCTTATCTTTTCTCTTTATTGTATTAAAGCTCCTTCTTAAGTTACCCTTAAGAGGGTTTAGCAGAACCTATTTCCTATTGTTTGGGTAGCTCGTTTTCAATACTTAATAGAAAATTAGAAAAATATACTAACCAAGCTAATAAAAATATTATAGAATTATATTAGCAATAAATAGGGTTTATATTATATGCTAGCTTAAAAACAAGGCTAGATTTAACTTATTTTATAAACGAGTTAGCTAGATATATGGCAAACCCAGGACCAAAACATATAAAAGAATTAAATAAAATATGGGGATATATATATAAATTCCTATATATATTTAAAGTATATAATTGCTCTGGAAATAATTTATAATTAATAAGCTATATAAATTCAAACTGGGGTAACGATATATCCACTGGAAAAAGCACCTTTAATTATATATTTAGCCTATATGATATTAATAATAATAATAATAATAATAATAATAATAATAATAATAATAATAATAATAATAATAATAATAATAATAATAATAATAAAATAAATCCCATAAGCTGGAATTCTTAGCTGCAAAAAACACCAGCACTTTCCTTTGTAGAAGCTAAATATATGGCTTTAAGAGAAGCCATAAAAAAAGCTAAATATTTATATAATTTACTTAAATATTTTAATAATAATTTAAATATTAACTTTAATCTTAAGCCCCTTATTATATATATAGATAATAATGGGACTGAGAAATTAGCCAAAAATACTTTATTCCATAAGAAAACCAAACAGATAAATATTGCATATTATTATATAAGAAAAGCAATAAAAAATAATAAAGTAATATTAAAACATATAGATTTTAAGCAAAATTTAGCAGATTGGCTTACAAAACTAATAAATAGATTATATTATAAAGAGTTCAAAGAAAAGTATAGTTTAATAGAAAAATAATATAAAAATATTAAAAATATTAAGCCAGAGAATAAAGAGATTTTCCACTTATATTATAATGCGCGCAAAATAAAAGGTGTTTACTCTTTAATAACTAGGGTTAAGATTTTTTCCTCCATTTATAAAATATATAAATAAATAAAGCGGACTTAATTATATATACATATAATATTACTCTAAATATTAAAGATTTTCCCCTAAAAGAAATAATTAAAATAATAAAGGTTTTTCCTGAAAAATAAGCGTTACTTACACGGCCCATATATACCATATATATACATAGTTACAATATACCTATACTGCGTTTATATACGTCTCATTCTACATAGAAAACGTATTTCCGTAATATATATAGTATAAATAAAATAACGTATAACTTTAATATATAAAAATGCCATGATATACCGTAGCCATTATAAAATAACTAGTAAATCCCATATAAAACCATAATCTAATATATAATACCCTACTGGCTATAAGTTTAAGTTTAAGTAACAGTAAACTTTTAGGTTTTTTGCCTATATATATATATATACACACTTATATAAGTAAGTTTTTTCCTTTTTATAAGGTTTTCTCACTATATAGCGAATATTCCTCTTTTATAAACTAAATTCCTTATATATAATAAATAAATAAATAAAAGGGAATTAGTTTAAGGGGGGCTGTTGGAATATTCTAGATATCTAGGCTATTATTAATATAGGATATCCTTTTCCCTATATGTTTGCCACTATATGGAGGATAATAACTATAAATAGGGGCCTTCCCTCCCGTTGAATAGACGTTAGCTAGCCTAATAGACTAAGCATCCAACGCTATTATTTGACACACCCAAGGACTGATATCCCAGGGGTGTTTCATGAAATTGAGCTGTGCCTTGACACTGATGCTTCACGGTCATTAAGGATTCCGTCCTGATCCTGCGAACATAACCATACAGAGTATTGTTTCTCCTGTTGTGACGCGAATGAGTATGCCCGGCTCCAACTTGGTGTCCCTGTGATGGACAGCCGCATGTTCGCCCCTGAGACTAGGGAATGTCCAACCCGATCAGCCTCGTAAGACCGCTTGGGATTTCAAGCCGACACCAAGGACGCGTGAGGTATCGCCGGCTCCATTGGTCTTGTTGGCAGTAAGAAAATGTGTGGGGGCAGCGGACCAGTTTTGCTTCCCAAGCCGCAACTGGTCTTTATGTCAGATCCGCCTCCCTACCATGCCGGAGGTCCTGACCTTTGTTACGTGCTTTAGCTGGCTAAACGCGAGATCTTGGGGGCCGGTCATTCCACCGTAAAGTAGAAAGACCCCTCACCTCGCAGTAAGTGAAGGGCAGTTGTAGATTTATGTTTCACACAGTGCTGATGGGGGATGACACGACTAGGAACAGACCTGAGTGTCCAGCAATCTACTTCGCCAATCTTAGACTGCGGCTTATCCAGCTGGCCCTCAAATCAGTCAGTGTCCGCCTACTCAGCCTCCAGCTTCTACGTGCCACCACCTCGTTCATTTCTAATAGTTATTATTGAGAGAGGAAGGGTTTTTATGGGCGGTGGTAGTAGCGCGATGGGTAATGTTGCTTTAAGTAATAACCTGAGAAATTTAGATATTTGGGGACTTTTATTTTCATTGTTTTCTTTAAATATTTTTTATGTGACTATGAATATGTAGACACTGCTATTCTGGTATCTCTCGGCTTGGCTGCCACAAGATTCAAGTATTGCCTCCTGTGTAGGATGACTCCCGAGATTGATAATTGTGGATTCACGTTCCGAAATGCGCACATTTCGTCTGCACTTCTTGCGACTTCGTAAATACGTCAATGCTTCATAACTTCAATTCAGCTATGTCGCGAAACTCTGGTCAAGACACAGCAAGAATTGTCTCGTCTCTGTTCAATAGTGATCAATCTTAATGAGTGACAAAAGTTCAGGCATTGAGTCCGACCCCTCATTGTTGCCCTCCAGGGCTCTCGGTGTGCCGGAAAGAAGGCCATGCTGGTATCACAACGAATAGCGGGCTGTGACTATTTCAAATAAATATGATCGGCTCCAGCTTCTGCAGCCTGACCGTCCATAATTCCAGCCACGTAAGCATCTCCGACGATGTTGTAACATTGCCATACGTCGTGGCAAGGCCTACGCTTACCCTGTTCAGCCGTCCCTCGCGGTAAGAGTACTTCACGCGACGCACTATGGCAGCGCACGTTCGAAGAATCTCTCAAGAGGAACGGCACAGTGCTGCCTGCGAGCACCGCAACGTGGTCGCCCACGGCAGTGTCCTTGGGCCCAACACCCATTCGCCCCTGCCTAGTAACAAATAGGATCCTCCCCGCCGTCATCATCTGCATCGCATAGAAGAACTGATTCCTCGTGCGGTTGGACGCCTCGGGCCTGACGGGGTAGAAAGTCCTCTTCCCTTTAATAGTCATCCTGCTCATCCGTCGATTGAGACCGACAACCTCCTGGGCGAAGGCCTTGAATAATTCCTGGTCTTCTGGTTGCGTCCGTCGATATTCGCCCTCGCTGTTGGCGCCCGAGGCATACATCATATCGCCGCACAGAAGCCGCCAAAATGCATCCGAATGTCCACCCCCTATCCATTCCGCATCGGACATTATAGACTCATCAGCGCTGAGAAGACTTTGACCCGAATGGACTCTACGTAGGACCTCGAGGCTCTTGCGGGCCTGAACCTCCCAATGCGAAACTGTTGTCTGGAATCTGGAGTACCCGTCCTCTGGGGCTGGCGAAGATTGGAAGACGTCCCTTACTCGATCAACCCAAATGCCTGACACCAACAGCAAAGGTGTTGCCGTAGACGTGTGGTGCATTGCTGCCATAGGCTCCATGCCTTTTGACGCATTATACAACTGAAGGAGCTCCACTCTTTGCCACTCGTGCTTTCCAGGTGTAATGCTCCAGTCAGGCACCCAGGTCTGTAATTCCTCATTCGTGATCGGCCTCGCCGACGTGAGCAGCCCGAGGTTCTCGGTGGACTTTATGATCCTCTTGGCGACTTTCGAGTAGACCTGGTGGGTGGCCATGTCGTACCTCGGAGTGAGAAAGTGGTCTTTGAGCAGGCCGAGAAACGCAAAGACCTTATCTCGCCGATCCGTGGCGTGCCTGCTGCGGAACCGGACGAGGGTCTGAAGGGGAGAGAGATACTGCCCTTGACTCAAAGCGCTTCTGGGAGACTCGATTTGCAAGATGAGGCCGCATAGTTCCGGGAGAGGATCTCCTGTCGCTCCGGATACGTTGACACGCCTGACTTGAGCAAGGTCATGGCCGAGGCGGCTGTCCATGAAGAAGCGCGCCGCGTCACTGAACATTTCCCAGCTTGCACTAAGGTGCCCATAATGCACTGTGGCTTTCCTGGCATAGACGCACTCCTGTACCACCCATGTTCTTTTCCACTGCGAGCCAGCAATTAGCAAGGATCACAACTGGTCCCAGGTCGGCTGCAGCGTACCCAAGCCCTGTCAATCATCTCCCAAACCGCAGTCCAAAGCCCGTCGACCCATTGTCTGAACTCCGGTGAATCAACCGATGACTCGTGAAATGGAATCTGGGATGCGGGCACCCGTCGGCTAAGAAGATCGAGCAGGCAGAATATGCCGTATGCATGACCCAGATCCAGGAACTTGAAGATATTGCCTCCTCTCAGGTACTCACTAAAGGAGTCCCGATACGTTGTGATGAGATCAACTTCATTATCCTCTCCCCAGTGGTAGTGTTCTTGAAATCCCCCACCCTCCTGCAGACCAGTTGAAGACGGCTCACCGAGCCAAATAAGTACTTCCGAGGCAAGACTGAATATCTCCTGCATCAAAGCCACCTGCTGGGTCCGCTCGCTTGTACTCGACTGGTCGATACACAGGTAGTCGATCCAGATGTCGGTAGGCTTCCGAAACTTCTGTCGGAGTCTGACGAGCGCGACAAACAGATTCTTCGGAACACCAATCTGTATGTTGTTGCACGAGATGCTGATGTTACCAGGGGGTGCCTTCTGTAGGGTTTGGGGCTCCTGCCAAGCATACGAGAGCGCATAGTAGGGCCATGATATATCAGAGTCGACGTCGGGCAAGGTGACGACCCGTAGCTCGCACTCCACTGGGGAAGACAGCGGCGAGGACCCGCCCGCGTGAAGAGTCAGGAGACGTATACTCCTCTCGTGCGGGAGTTTAGTCCCCTGGTATAATTCTTGAGACATAAGTCCCGCACCTCGCCGCGAGGCTTCGAACTTTGACGATCTATTTGAGATCAAGAAGTAAGGATTTTGACACACAATAAACCATACCTGCAGCAGGATGGGGTCAGACGTCAGCTGGGAGCTCAGCTGGGAGCACGAGGTTCCCAGACTTTTCGGATGAACCAATCAAGAAGGTCTGACGGCCGGGATTCAAGCAAGCTGCTGACGTGAGGACCATCATGGGTTAGGGTTACGTACTAAAAAGGGCCAGGTCAACAGTTGCAGTGATGATGGAAGTTCTCCTCACAGAATGTGAATACAGGCCGGTTTGATTGACTGAACTTGGCTCTAATGGTTCGAGGCCAACTGCGCCACCCAAGTGCTGCCCTACGCTGATCACGGACTGCCAGCAAAAAGTGAGCAGGAGGCAAGTCTCCGACGTAGTACGAGTGATTAGGGGCGACCAAACTTTAAGAGGTAGCAGGTATATAAGATAGTCAACTTCGAAATGGAACATTCAAAACGACTCAAGTTAATTAATTAATGTAACCCCTTTCAAACAATAGACACGCTCCTCGTCAGCTCCAGCTCAGGATGTGGTGCATTCTGGAGCTTCTTGCTGAAATTACTCGCTGCCCGGATCTTCTCCCCCCAGATGATAAAGCCGAACGGGACCAGACTCAGCGCGCAGCTGATCAGAGCCAGCACGCTGCACGACCACGCGATCCCAAGCGTGTTGACCATGCTGTCCACAGCCAAGGGGATGATGGCTCCCGCAATACTCCGGCACGCGGCCAGGGCGGCTAGGGCCGACGAAGCAAAGATGCCGTACGCGTCGGCCGTGTAGTTGATCATGGCCATGAAAATACACTGGTATCCAAACCCATAGGGTATCATAGACAACAGCGGCACGATCCAGTGGATCGACAGCCGCGACGTCCACCCGAGCCAGAACAGGGACACGACAAACGCCGGGCCGCCGGCGCACGCCAGCGGCAGGCGCAGGTACTCGGCGTGCTTGTTGGGGTGCCTCCGGACGAGGCCCTGGGCGTAGATGTCGTAGAAGTAGCCGAGGACGTTGGAGATTAACGACCCCGCGAACATCATGACGAAGGCGAGGCCGGACTCCCCCGGCGTGAAGCCGTAGATGCCGTGGAAGATGGTTGGGAATATCTTGAGCAGCATGTAGAAGACGGCGTAGACGAAGGCCATGTAGACGCACGTCAGCGCGACGAGCATCTCGGTGCAGAGCAGGTACAGCGGCCGCGTGGTGGTGATCTTGAGCGTGACGAGCAGGCCGGGCTTGTCCACGTCCGCGGGCGCGATGTACCTCCCGCCGCCCTTCTCCTTGTTCAGCTTGGCGGCCCGGTCGCGCAGGATCTTGGTGGCGAGCGTTTCGGGCTGGAAGACGAGGGCGATGAGGCATATGCCGGAGAACATCATGGATGCCCAGAATGCCCACCGCCATGAGTACTGGTACGTATATCCAGCAATCACGGGGCCGGCAAGGGGTCCCAGCAGAGTAGCAAAGGACCAGAGCATGTTGGCCCTACCCCTGACGACCTTGTCCTCGAAGACATCGGCGATGGATCCTCCGGTCACGCTCATCGGCGGCGAGGCAAACGTGCCGCTTAGGAACCTGAAGATCAGGAATGCGGCCCAGTTGGGAGACAGGGCTGTCCCCATGGTGAAGATCGTGTAAAGGCATAGCGTGGAGACGAGGACAGGCCTGCGGCCGTACTGTTCACTCAGCGGTGCAAAGACAAGCGGGCCCAGGACAAATCCGATGAGGAATGTTGTAGCCGGGAGCACGGTCTGCGGCCCGTCGGGGAAGTGGAAGGCCTTCTGCAGCGCGGGGAGCTCGTTCGACGGAGTGGATGAGCCCATTGTGGAGTTGATCGAGAGCAGAGTCCCGACGAGTGGGACGTAATATTTCTTGGCCTGGACATTTATTCCCATCGTCAGATCGGGCACCAACTAAGTCATCATTTTGGCAGTTGATGCTCACCAAGGACCAGTTGTGCGGGTCGGCAGGCTCGCCTGGCTGAAAGTTCACGAGGATGACATCGTCCTGTGTCGATGACCGCCGGTCCTCGCTATCCGTGTCCGACTGCGTGGACTCGGCGTCGTGCTCGACGCCCGGGACCACTGCTTGGTGTTCATCATCATGGGTCTTCTCCCTCGTCAGCTCTGTCTCGCGGCGCATCTTGAGTGGTTCATCGAGTCGTACACGGACCCAGCACGAGAGGGGAACTTGAGAACTTGAGATCTTACTGAGGAAACCCAGACTGTCCCAATAAACCTCCAGAACAAAACAGTTCCCCCGGGGGAAGGCGTGCTATTTCATCACCAACACGCCCTGCACTTGAGCAGTTCCACAATTTAGATCCTCCTTCGGCCTCGGGTCTCGCCACTATGCTGGCCTGGGTGGATCTATCCCGCGGGATTGGGACGTAATGTGGGCCGTAGCCGGCGACACTCGGCGCCGACAGGTATAAGCGGACGGTTGGCCCGGTTAGCCGGTCTGCCGCCGGTGATGTTGATCATTGTTGCTGGTCTAGGACATAGATATGACAAGAAGACGGTTGCTGGCGATTTTGAGGCTCATCAGCACCCCTTGTCGTCGATAGCCAGGGCCTACAATACAGCACTGTACAGAGCTCATCCCGGAAGCGGGAGCGTTAAGGTTTGCATGGGTTCGGCGTGGGCTCTGGACTCGAAGGCTTGGCACACTGTACACGTAGAGTCGAGGCATCTGTTACGCAGACCGCATCTTCCCGCGTCGCCAGGCCAGCCTGTGCTATGAATAGGGGCTGGATATCGGATTTACGGACCAGGCCAGCTCGTATCGAACGGCGTGCGCGAGCTGGCAAGTCGATCTAGCCTCTCTGTCAGCTCGCAATCCGGCGAGCCTGCAACTATATGGGCCCACCATTTCAAAAATTCTCAGGCAGTGGCCAGATTGCCTGGCTGAAAGGTTTGCATTCGGCAACTGGGGGTAATCTTTTTCCCTCCCCATCTACTCAGGAGTAGAACAACCAGCTTCAAGTTCTTGGCTTCAGCCTCATGACGTCGACAAGCTCCATCTTCATCTATTCTTGGCGCTTTCGGTACCTGAAAATCTGGTGTACAATTTTTCTACAACTTCACTCTAGACGCAAGGCTATGTGCTACCAGTCTGTAGCCATGATGCACGGCTCCATGTCCGGCCAGTGTTACTAAGCGCTGCAATTGTCTGCCTTGCCCTATTCACTAGCCAATGCTCATCTACCACACTGGTTCAGAGCGAAACAACGGGTTATATACCCTGTTCTCTGTCGGCAACTATCTTGTTGGCGATGTCAAGACACACTGCGGTTACTGGTCAGCAAGTAAACCCTCAAGTCTGGGATCCAACGGCACTTACACTCCGAGATGCTCTGCGGTTGCAGAATCTTCATCACCGGCACATCGCTTCCCACTCTCTTATAGAACCAGTTGCGGATCTCAACCGCCATCAACGAGTCCACTCCCAGCTCGATGATATGGCTATCGGCGGACAAGCTGTCGTCGGATAGCTGGAGGAGAGCCTTCAGGTGGCGATAGAACTGCTCAAACAGGAGGTCTGCGACTCCATCTGCAGATACCGCCGCGTCGATCAGCTCCCTCAGGTTCGTCTCCGCCACGCCTGTCTGCTGCAGCCCGGCGCCATCCTCGTCCTCGTCGTCGACGGTGAAATGGCAAAAGCGCCTGTCACGGTGCCAGTGCAGCGGATTCGGGTCATTGACACGGTACCGGGCCAGGCCTGTCGTCAAGTCCCTGATCTGCCCAGGGACCGGCCGGCCGGCGACTATCGCTTCCAGGAACATGTGGTGGATGTCCCGCTCGGAGATGGGCGGGTATCCCTCCCTCTCCAGGCCGCGGTAGATGTCCTGGCGCTCTCGCGCGAGAAGGCCCAGGCCGTAGATGACGCCGATGTTCAGCACCGACCCGGCGAGTCCGCGCTGTCGGCGGTTGGCCGCTAGACCGTTCATGAACATGTTTGCGGCGGCGTAGTTCGACTGGCCGGCGTGTCCGCCGATGGCTGCGAATGACGATGTCATGATGAAGAAGTCTAGGTCTGGGGCGTTGAACACTTTGTCGAGGTTGCTGGATCCGACTGCCTTGGGCCGCATGACGCGTGTCCATGTGTCGATGTCCATCTGGGCGAACACCCTATCGTCCAGGACCATCGCACCGTTGACAATACCTCCAACATTGGACAGGCGTGCGCCCAGAGCTTTGACGCTCTCCAGGTTAGTGACGTCTGCTTGGGTGGCTTGAATGTTGGCTCCCTCCGAATTCATCTCCGAAATCCAGTTTGTATCCTTGATCTGGCTGCGGCTGGCCACAACAATGTTCCTTGCGCCGTGCTGGATGAACAGCCGACACAGGCTCTGGCCGAAGTCACGGGTCAGGCCGACTAAGAGATAAGTCCGGTCAGCGTTGAGTAAACGGGGCTCAACCAGAGATTTGACTGGAACCGCAACATAGCGGTCTGACTTCCAGTCAACGACGGTGAACGCCGGCTGGGGCTCGCTGGTGCCTTGGAGAAGAGCTGGGGTGATAAAGGTAGAGTGCTGGGTCTGCGATGGTTTGGGTCCGATCATATTGAGGCAGTTGCGCAGTAGATCTGTCCATATCGATCTCTTGCTTGATGATCGTTCGCCACGGCGGTCCGTCGACGAGGGTGGCCAACGCACATACTCGAAATCGCCTGCGTGGCCCTCAATGACCTTTGACAGCTCGTTTCCGTTCCGTAGGAAGTCGACCACAGTTGGTCGTGTGCATGGGATGAGCCGCTTCAGCTCTCGACCGCTGCTCAGTGGGTGAATGTACTTGAAACTGGCGTGCTCTTTGGCCAGTCCGGAGTCAGTTGTCCACACATGAATCGCAAATCCCTCCCTCCCTTGGCGCTGGGGCAGGACTGCAAGCGCACAGTGAAGGAACGTCGGATCGGGCTCGATGAGCACCAGATCACCAGGACGGGCCCATGCGGCCAGGTGTGCAACAGATACCATTGGCGACAACCACGAGGCAAGGCCTCTTCGATCCACGAGGCCCTCTGGGAGATCAACAGTGTGAAGGGGTTGGGCCATCGAGGCAACGTATGGGGATGTTGCTGCTACTGGTCTCCCATTGTCGTCGGCAAGACCAATGCAGAGGTACAGATCATCCTCACCAGTCAAAAAGGGATACAACGAGCTGTACTCAACGTTGACAACTCTCCCTGGAGGCTGGTTGGGGACACATGCCCCAGCGCCATATGCCCCAGCGCCATATGCCCCAGCGCCATCAGAGCGACGGACATCGAACCGAGTTACACCATCACTGCCTCGGGCACTGCCTAGGAGCAGGCATGTCTCGAGACTGTTGCAGATCGTGGAGACCTCTCTCCGACTGGCGTTCAGTCGCTCGATGGCTGGCTTGTATGAAAGGACGCGAGGCACTATCTGGCGCTTCCCATTCACATGGATCTCAGGCTCAAACGAGAACAGCATCTTCTCTCTCAGTACCTCGGCCGTCTGGAGATGATCCCGGTACTGAAGGAGCAGCATCAGCCGGTCTAAAATCACGTCCACTGACTGGCTGCCGGTGTTGAAAAAGTCGAGGACCTGCAGGATGAGGTTCGGGTTCTCGGCCTTCAAAGTCCTGGTCAGGCCGAGGCTCGCAGCCGTCTCTGGGTTCAGCTGCGTGCTGCGTGTCACCCACAGAATGACCTTGCCAGGCTGCATGAGTGACCTGAGAGCACTCAGGGCTCCATCTGTCATATTTGGGCAGACCGGGCGGGTCAAGTCCATAAGCAGTATGACAACAGTGGCGGCAGAAGCTGCCATCGGTGTAACGTCCTCGATGTTGTCGAAAATCTTGACATCCGTCTGCCTTCCGATTTGTCCACTTGTCTCAAGTCGCTCAAGACCAATGCGTGTGGATACATGGCCAACAATAACCACCGACTCCTTGGCTTTGTCACTCTTGAACATGGGAACGTCGTCACCGGCTTGTCGTATGGTCATGGACAAGCCAGAAGTGTGGGTTTGGGTCGAGTTCTTAGCCGCCGGCAAGAACATGCCCTCTTCCAGCGATTTAGCCGGATCAAATGGAACTCTCGCATCTGAGCCACTCTGACTGAACAATCCATCGCCCAGTCTAAACACGTCCTCAAGCGTCGAAACAGGTGGCGCGTTGACTATGATGAGGAAGGCTCTCTTTCTCATCAGCTGTCGGGTCTTTTCGACGATCTCTCCTCTGCTTGCAGTGAATCTCGAGAAAGTGCTGGTTGACATGATAACTAGGTCATAGGCTCCGATGGAATTACCCATATCCTCCACCTTCGCATCAAAGTCCAGGTCTGCAAAAGACACCTTCTTATTGCTGTTCAAATTCGGGCACCGGTTCAGGAGGTACTGCGGTTGCGTCGACGCCATCAATCTGTATGACGAGAATGTGTCACGCAAGCCGTCAAGGATGTTCTCGGTGAAGGCCCACTCTGCAAAGGTAAGATCGAGGACATCCATTCGGGGGAAGCGGTGGGCGATCTGCCGAACGACTCTGCCGAGATGCGCGTGGAAGCCGTGCATCAGGTGCGCATCGTCAACAATGGACCAGTACGCAAGCGAAAAGTCAAACGACTGCGAGTGCGAAATTTCGACCCCACGAAGGCTGCGCAGCAGGTTCAACGCATAGAAGTAGGGTGAGTTTGAGATGAATCGTTCCATGTCTTGTTCGACGGCCGCGGGAACTTGCTTTACAAACGTTGTGCTTGAGTCGGCCCGCGGCGAATCCGGGGGTGTGTCAATCGAGGCAATACTCTTTGGCTGTTCAAGGTACACCTGTGCCACCCTCTCGCAGCTCTCATCGATGTGCAAGCGAGCGCCCTCGGGCTCTGGATGCATGATGGCGATCTCATACTCGGGATCCAGGTCCATGACGGTGTGGAGATACAGCTCGTAGTCGTCTTCGGGCCTCGCCGAGGAGAAGGAAGAGACGACCAGCTCCTCGAGCTGTATCTCCGTCTGACCAAGCTCGTTGGAGATGGACAGGTCAGCGGTAATAGTGGCAGGAGAGCCGACGGAGTAATGATCGAACTTGGTGAGATGACACTCGACAGTCGTCATGGCCGAAGACTGTTGGGTTCCACAAATCGCCTGGTTGAATCGCATCCTGCCTATATTCGTCGGCAGGAAAGACGTCCACAGGGCCCTGTTCACGATCAGCGTCAGTAATTTGCTCCTCTAAGGAGGGTTTGAGGCTGCGACTCGGCAGACTTACTTATCACCTGGTGATGAAAAAGTTGCAAAAGTGGCCTGGAAACAGCTGTCAAGAAAGGCTGGGCTCACATCGAGACGAGTCGAATCCAATGGGCTGGCCTTGCTGAGAGTTCCTCTTGCGTAGTTAAATCGTCGATCGATGGACTTCAGTGCCTGGAACGGACCAGTGTACGAGAGTCCAATGCCTTCCATCATCTGGTAAAAAGCACCCACGTCGACAGGTAAGGTCTCGGCCAGGGGTCCATTAAAGCGAGGGGGCAGAGCATCTGGAGACGGATCTTCGAGAACGATGAGGACCCTCCCTTCAAAGTTCTTCTTCATCGGACCGGGCTTTGACGAGGTAACCGGAACTGATGTCAAGGTAAAATCGGCTTCGATGATGTTAGCATGGCCGGATCGATCCTGCTGGGGAGGAAGGACGGAAAGGGTGAACAGTGTTTCCACGCCGAGAGACCCAGACTCCATGGTAATACCGCTGAGGAACCTCAAGTCCTGCAGCTCGACTACCGATGCGTTGCGGCCGTTCAGAGCGACCTTAGTCGCATCAAGTGCCATAACGCAATATGCTGATGCTGGCAGCAACGCCTGGCCTTGGAATTTGTGACCCTCCACCCATGGAATCTGCTCCACCTTGATGACATTCCGCCATCGCATCTGGAACTGGTTGTCGTCCCGGGTGCGGACGCCGAGCAGCTCATGTGGTGGTCGCTCGCGGAAGTGGTACTGTGCCGACAACCGAGACTCCCTCCAGTAAGTCTGTGTATGATCCCACGCATATGTTGGCGCATCAGCCAGACGTGAGTGCACGAGCTCAGGCTGTGAGGATTGTTGGACAAAGCTGCGAATGTCTACGGCAGAGGTGCCGAGGTTGATGCACATGAAGCCGAGAAATTCGGCGAATGCGATCTCTGCCTCCTTGCCTCTCTGGAGCAACCCATAATAAGGAAGTCCTGTGCCCATGACACCCTTGATGGTCTCCATAGCCGGTGTCTGTAGTTGCGGGTGAGGTCCGACCTCGATAGCGCAGTCAAAAGGCCCGAACTCTTTCAAGGCCGCTTCGACTGCCTCGTGAAACAGGACAGGGCGGAGCATGTTGTCTTTCCAGTAGGCTGTCGCCAGGTCTCTTGAAGTGATATCATCCTGACGGCCATAGACGCTCGATACCCATGTTGTAGTGGTACCATCGAGAGGCGGATGAGCTTGTATGGAACAACATGCCAAAGCCTCGGAGTATTGTTGGACTGCCGGAACCATATGATGTGAGTGGTATGCTGTGTCTACCTTCAGAACCCTTGCAAACTTCCCATCAGCCTTCAGTTCATCAGAGGCAGCGACGATGATGTCCATGTCTCCTGACAAGGTGACCAGGTTAGGCGAATTGCTAGCCGCGACAGAGATGCGGCCTTGATACTTGGGCGTGGAGCAAAACTCTTCAGCTTCTTGCCTCGACATCCCGCAGGCCATCATGCCCCCCTTGGCTCCACTGGTGCCTGCGGCTAGGTGGGCAAAGCAGCCCCGGTAATAGGCGATCAGCATCGCGTCCCGCATTGGCAGGCGCTCGGCCGCGAAGGCTGCCGCAATCTCTCCAGAGGAGTGACCGACGACGCAGTGGAATGATACGTTGAGGCTGGAGAGCAGTTCCACCAGGGCGATTTGAAGCGCCGTGCATAGTGGCTGAGCTATCGCGGCCGTGTTGATGCCCGAGTCTTGTCCCTCGTCCATGATCTTCTCCTCCAGTGACCACTCTGGGGGATCAGGGCAATCATTCTGTAGGATGTTGTCGAGCTTTCTGATGGTCGCGCGATACACAGCGCTTGTTCGAAGAAGGCCTTTAGACATGGCGGCGTATTGGGCTCCCTGTCCGGTGAATATCCCGAATACGCGAGGGTTTGTCGACATCTTCTTAGAGCGGATGATAGTGTCAGACTGGGTGGGTGAGGTCTTGCTTGAACGGTCGATCAGAGACAGCAGGTTCGACACCGCCGAAGCTGCCTTCCCGGGGCTTGGGACAACGAAAGCCCTCAGGCTGTGTGCTGTGCGATAGCTATAGAGGTGCCATGCCAACTCTTGAGTGGTGACGTGTGCATTGCGCTCGATGTATGACGCGAGGTCCTTGAGAGTAGCAGAGAAGGACTCCTCAGAAGCGGCTGTAATGATAAGAGGCAATGCAATTTGTGTATACTGAGGCGCGTCAGGTGTAGGAGTTCCCGAAAAGACTGAACCAGTGGCCTTTGTATTCAGGCTCAGCGCCGCTGACTGGACTCCACCGTTGTGAATTTCCGGTTGGTATTTCTCCACGATGGCATGGGCGTTGGTGCCACCGAAACCGAAGGAGTTCACGCTCGCTCTCATCGGGTGTCCCGCAGGCGGGGACGGCCAGGCGAGTGTCTGAGTAGGGATTCGTAAGTTGCCATAGTAAGGAAGAACACTTGGGTTCAGAGAATCGTGGTGCAAATTCTTGGGGATGGTGTCGTTGTTCATGGCGAGAACGACCTTGAGAATTCCAGCCAGGCCTGCAGCGCCCTCGGTGTGCCCGATGATTGTCTTGACTGAGCCAACCAGCAACTTGTCGTGCCGTGCATTTCTCGACTTCGCGGGGCTATCCTCAATGCCATCGAAGAAGGCTTCGGCAATGGCGCGAGCTTCGCGTGGATCACCGGCAGGTGTCCCAGTGCCTTAGAATGTGTGAGTATGTATAACACTTCAGACCAGTATCAAAATGAAACGACGTACCGTGTGCCTCAAAATACTGTGGCCGATGATTTGGGTTCCGAGGATCCAGACCAGATCTCTCATAAGTCTGTCGAATCAATGCAGCTTGTGCTGCTGGGTTTGGCATCGTGATACCCTGTGTCTTTCCATCCGAGTTGACTCCCGTGTGCCGGATGACAGCCTGGATGTTGTCGCCATCGGCAAGGGCCCGGCTGAGCGTCTTGATGAAAATTGCCACCACACCTTCCCCTCTTGCATACCCATCAGCGCGTGCATCCCACATCTGGCAGTGTCCGGTAGGGCTCAGCATGTGTAAATCAGACTCGGAAATGAACTGCTCGGGGGTGAGCATGAGATTGACACCCGCCACACACGCCATTTCTGTCTCGCCCGTGCGCAGGCCAAGGACAGCCTGATGGAGAGCAACCAAGCTTGCCGAACATGCGGTGTCGACGGTCATGGACGGGCCGTGAAAGTCGTAAAAGTACGAGATTCTATTCGCGATGATGGAGCCTGCGTTGCCGGTAGCTGCGTACTGCGAAGCGTTCAGCTCGTCCCTCTCGGAAAGGGACCTGTAGTCCGTTGTCATGACACCAGTATAAACGCCGACATTGCGACCAGCGAATTTCTCCAGATTGTATCCAGCAGACTCCAAGGCTTCGTATACAACCTCAAGAAGAAGCCGTTGTTGGGGATCCACGGCCTCTGCCTCCTTCTTGGATATGTTAAAGAAGGCCGCGTCGAACCTGTCCACGTCCTGGTTCAGCCAGTACCCACAAGGAGAGTTTGTGGTGCCATGATGCTCTGCATCCTCGTGAAAGAATCCGGCGGCAGAGAACCTGGTTGTGGGGACCGGGCGTGAAAGATCGGTGTGGGGTTTTGTAAGAGCTCCCAAAGCTTGGATGGTGAAGTGCCGTTGCCCGCAAATCGGCAACTACTTCCAACAAGGGCAATTGGCTCAGGAGGCATCTTTTGTGTCCTCCAAGCCACACAGTCGTGGCCTGAAAAACGATGTGTCAGCATGTGCGGCCGTAAATCCTGAGACAGAACTTGCAGGTGGGCAAGGGACGGTCGTTCGCAGGAGATTGAGGTTTTAAGACAAAGGACAAACAAAATGTAATAATACCCTTGCTACTTAGGGCTCCAGAGGAGCTCTTTACTGTGGTGCTTTGTGCTGCTAACAGCTTCTAATGCCTTCCAGGGTCTTTTTGGCTCACGTATAGGAGAGGCTGCGGAGAGATTGTTTGACAGGTGAAGACAAACTGGTTTGCTGGGTTAGAGTGAATGAGTCTGAGAGTAGAAGAAAACAGATAGGGCTATCAGAAGGCCGAGAGAATGTGCATTGTTACGATGAATTCTGATGATCCATGGAGGAGGCAAGGAGGGAAAGCCAGGAGGGGAAGAACGAGAGTTAGGAGATGAGGTACCATACCGGCGACGAAGTAGGTGAGCGACGGCTGCACTTCTTGGATTCTGGTAAACAGTCGAGCTTCCACTGCCCAAAGGCGAGCAGTTCTCGAACCGCGTATTGATTTCAGAATACTGTTGACCGCTCAAAGAAGAGGGAACGGTAAGGGTACCGTCGTGGACGGTTGGCGAAGGCTGGATGCGGTTGTGCACTGGTCCTTTCAAGCGGAAGTTGGGCCGCTTACCTGCCCCATAAAGCGGCAGCACAGGAGGAGATGGAGAAGAATGCAGAAACCAAAAGCTTGAAAGAGTCCAATCACCCCCACCAAAATATCAATCTGGAGCCCCGCCTGAGATCAGGTGAGTCGAGAAGAAAGAGTAAATAGTTCACTGTGCCAAACGATCCGCGTAGGGCCTTTCTCAGTGAATCTATGTAACGGGGAGTGGGGAAAAAAACAAACGGGGAGTCAGGCAAGAAATGACATGCTGGGCCATCACGACATGGGACGAATTGGGATAGCATCAGGTGTATGGTACTTTCAACAGGAAACTACCAGCACCAGCATTTGGAAAGACAAGCATCTTGACGAAGCTCCTTCGTGGGATGAACGCTCTGCCTGCAAGATCACCTGTCTCCGGGGCCCAGCGCGCTGGTCTTCACGAAACTATTGGTGCCCTTTGAGACTACACCAAACTGGACCTACAAGTACCACAATGGTTTGTTTTCTGGCCAGACCTACCCGTTATTTTCGGTGCGGACAAAATGCTTCGGGAGCGGGTTGTGGGCGGCCATGCCAAGAAACAATTGAGGTCTTCAAAGAGACTTATAGTGCAGGGGATCAGCTCCTGCAATGCGGCTATGTGACAGTATGCATTAGTCTTCGGCTGGGACTGCTGTCTGCTTAACCTTTCATGTTAATAAGACCATGCTGTTTCCAGGCACACTACTGCATGCTGTCACTGGGCCCAATCCTGGAGTCCAGGGCCGGTGATGCCGTCGTCTTCCAGATGGCACCACACCCTGAGAAAGTGTCCCGGATGTCCCCATCGTGCTGACAAGCTTGTTCAGCCAAGACTTTGGCATTAATAATCCTGGACAATATAGTTTCGGCAATGGGCTTTGGTTTCAGTGGCATGATCGAAGTGTTGATGACAGGTGTCAGACGGGCAGCTATCGTGTTAGTTTTGTTTGTCATTGGTCAAGCGAATTCCGTTGGAAAGGATTCCTTGAGATACTACCAATTTGTCAGCCAGTGCCATCACCAAACGGAATTCTCCGAACGCCGGGCTGTTTACTTTCCAATGAGACTAAGGAATCGTGTTTTCAAATGTGAGCCATGGGAAGCTTATGGCGCTTGGATTGAGATGGTTGAGCTTGCGGTGTGTGCTTGAGAAAACAACTTCGGCCAACAAGGCCGTCTCGTTTCGAACAGGCATAGAACCGCAGTCCGACATGATGGGTTCAAGTTGGTTTGGTCCTCTCCCAACAACAGAAGGCTTGCACTGGCTTGGAATGTACAATGCGAGCTTCCGACGAAAGCTTCCGTAACACAGCATGGATCTGTGGTCGTATGACAGCGCGCCAGATGCTGCTCCTTGCCGGCGCAGGTCTCGTGCCACTAGCAACACCGTCGCGTGTCGGCTTCAGGTTGGGCGAAAAGAGCTGCAAGATATCATGTCCTTGATATCTCTTGGTACGAAGGGCCTTGTCGGGTATTGAGCATAGTTCAGGCGCTTGGCCGACACTCACTGCCTCAAAATAGCGCGGGATCTGACTACAGAGTTTCATTCCAGTTCATTCCTACCGCTTAACCCACTCTTCTGTGTAACAGGCTAGATAGATCATCCTGACTCCCTCGTGGGCACTGGTGGGACCGAGGTTGGTGGCCGTCAGACAAACAGAAGGCCCCCCTACACTGTTCTTCCATACATATCGCTAGCATCCACACTGTGAGATTTATAGTAGACGAATAAAAAAACATTTCGCATATTATTTCTACAAGTAACAATGCGTTGCGTATGTATTTGTCGAGGCTGGATGTGAGCTATGGAATACTCCAAACCTTGCCCGAGACACAGAAAATCCCGGGTAGTCATCGCAAGATTGAGCGGTGAGGAAGATTACCAGCACGACTTGAGCTTCCGCAAGGGAGTGTAACTTGTTCCAGCAAGCATGCTCCTATGACAATGGGTTCCAGACAATGCTACAGTCGGAAGTTTGTACACCTGACCAATTCACTTTCACTCCGTCGTAATGAATGTGATCAAGGCAACATTGACCCGCGCCTCAAAATAGAAAGGATCGCCTATCTTCTTCGAAAATTGCAGACCAAATTCTCCAAGACATGTGGCACTGAGGTTCGACTTCGAAACGAATTGTTCGCATGTGAAGCCTTGGGTTCAAAGCCTGGGCCTCAACCAAGCTGTCAAGACACACTCGTTTGGGCGTCGGAAGCTACTGCACACGTCTTTGATACCTCCTCATAGTCCTTTTGCGCTCCACATAACCACAACGTGTTCGCCTGCTCTAGATCTAGACGGGTAGGAGAATATCGTGCCACGATGCGATGTTGAGCAACTTAGATCCCTATAGATCTAGCCTTGAGCAACCACAATGTCGAGATGAGGTCGGAATGGACTGCAGTGTGACTTTCGATCACCTAGGCCACGGCGTGGGCTGGCACCCCCAGAACACCTGCCGAACGCGTGCGATGTCTTCCACGCAGGCGCCCACGACGGCGAACAGACCCGGTTGCATCCCGTAGAAGGCGGCGAGAACAATTCCACGCGGCTGAGCCCTCGGGACCAAGCATCCGTGCGACCAGAAGAAAGTTTTCCTAAGGCATGGCTCCGAGGGGACCTTCAGAAAGGGGAAAGAAGCGTGGGATGCCGTGCGCGTGGTTGGGGGCCAAGTTACACATGGGGGCGCATCCGGATGTCTTGCTTTGTTATACATCATATTAGGCATGCTGCATAGGCGTGGATCTTGGCTTTTTTAATATCGGGCAGCAGGAACAAGCGCGGCTCCTTCTGGAACATGGCGGCCGTCAGATTCAAGCCTCAAATGGTCAGATGATCAACTCTATTGGCGTTAGATGCGAGCCATGTCTCCAGTGTTACTTCGAGTTGGACGGTGGCAGTCAAGATCTCGACCAGATTGATGCATCCCCCGTCGGTCGGTGGTTGTGTCTCGTTCCCTCACAAGGGCAAATTTTATTACGAAGTTGAGCTGAGTTTGATGGTCGCGCTATCAAATCGGTACCGGTATGCTAGTCTTTTTGCCAGCCGGTATTTGCAACGTCCTGCACCATCCTAAGTCATCTAGGGAATCACTAGTAGGAAAGAACATGCCCCATACACCGGCGCCCTCCGAAAGTCAAAGAAATCTGAGTCGTCCTCTTTTCGTATGCAAAGTGCACCCACGACCGTCTAAGCGTCGTCGGCAACATCTCCAGTGGCAAATAGCTCCAAATAGACCCTGCTCTTGTCGACACCGAGACCCACCAAGGTCTTCCTCGCGTCCAACATGAATTTCTCAGGACCACAGATGAAGTACTCAGCCCTTGGGTCGTTCACAAACAGCTTGCCTTCCCGAGAAAGGGCCGCAATGTCCAACCGTGGCTTCCCTTTCCCGTCGAGCCCCTGTCTCAGGTGAACGTGCGCCGACGCCCTGTCCTTGATGGCGCCCTGCTCCACGGTCGCCACCGCCTCGTCCGCAAACGGCTGTGTAGCCTTTGATCGGGAGGTGTGGATCCACGAGACCGGCCTCTTGACTGCCGAGGGCTGCGCCAGGGCGTGGAGCATGGACATGAGCGGCGTGGCGCCTATGCCGGCAGAGATGAGCACGGCGGGGGCGCCCTCCTTTGAGACATCCGACGGGTCCAGGAAGAACTCGCCGTGCGGGTGCGACAGCTCGACCACGTCGCCCTCCTTGTACCCGTCGTGCAGCATGTTCGAGATCAGGCCGTCCACGACCGCCTGGTCGTCGCGCTCCTTCTTGACGCTGATCCGGTAGGACCGCCCTGCGGCGTCGGGCGCCTGACTCAGGCTGTACTGCCGGCTCTGGTTGTAGCCCAGGTGCTTCACAAAGACCTGCAGGCTGATGTACTGCCCCGGCAGGAACCGCGGCAGCGCCGCGCCGTCCACGGGCTCCAGGTAGAAGCTCGCGACGCCCTCGGCCTCCCTGGCCCTCCTCGCGATGCGGAACTTGCGCCAGCCCGTCCAGTTCTCGTCGGCCTTGTACAGCTCACGCTCCCTGTCGATGAAGACCTGCGCGAGCACCCCGTACGCCGCCGTCCAGGCTTCCACGATCTCGGGCGTCGCCGCGTCGCCCAGGACCTGGCCGATGGCGCCTATCAGGTGACCGCCCACGATGTCGTACTGCTCCGGCTGGATGAACAGGCTGACGTGCTTCTGCGCTATGCGCTCGACGGCGTGTGCCAGCTTGGGCAGGTCATCGATGTATATGGCGTATGCGAGCACGGCGCGGGCAAGGGCGCGTGGCTGTCGCCCTGTGACCTGGGAGCTGGTGCTGAAGATGTTGTGCATTTCGGGGTTGGCGCCGATCATGTTGTCGTACATGACCTTCGTGATGGTCTCGCCATGTGCCTGGAGGACCGGCACGGTGGCCTTGATGATGGCCAACTGAGCCTGACTCAGGGGTCCTGAGGGGGGAACGGCATCGCCGTTTGTGGCATCACCCGGTTTTGGGCCTGCTGTTGTGCTGGGTGTGACGGTCATTGTGGTGATGTCTTCCTAGACGACTGGGATCTCAAGTTGGTAAAGCAAGTACAGCTTGTCTCGTAAGGTTGTGGTAGGGCGAGCGGAATGAGCGACCCCTAGGTACTATGGATGGGTTTTAAGGTTGGGCAAGAATGATGTGACGTGGTAGTAATGTGCCTTCCATCTCGAGAGGCAGTGCCCGGCGTCAGGCAGGGTTGCAGCTTGGTTTTAATACCAGGGTATCTATTATTCATCTGCCACGGAGATGCAGTTCACGGCTGTCATCGTCCGACTCCATCTGTTTACCATCGTCCCGCTGGCCGCGAGGGTGATCCAGGTCAGTCGCTACCTCATCCCTGAGAAATCATGCCACTCAACCCTGTTCGGACTTCCGCTGTGTGCGATGGCCGAAGGAGGACGCTGACAGAAACTTTGAATATTTGCAGTAATGGAATCATTGTGATTGGCCGTCTGCGGATCCTCTCCCGGGCGACTTGTTTTCTTCCACCACGTGTGGGCGAAACCATGGCGGCTTGAGCCGCAGCAGCCGCATCCGGCCGGTTTTCGTTGTAATTGGCTTCTCCGCGGCGAACAAAATATTCACCCAAAAAAACCTGCTTAGTCAGCAGCACAAAAAGTCTCCCGACCATCACAGAACGACACTGAGCTCTGGGAGGTTTTCATTTTATTATGTACGAGCCGCAAAAGGAGTTGAGGTCCTACTAGTACACAAGTTCAAGACACCGTGTTTTGTACCCATGCAAAACGGCCATTCCCAACAGTGCCGTAGGCCTTCACTGCCAGGGGCTGTTTGTCTATTGCTCATTTCTCAAGCACCATCGACGCCTTTTCCAGGTCTTCAGTCGACTCACAGTGCTGCATTACTGGTTGTACGTACCCTCCTGCTGAAATGATGGATTTGATCTATTCAATTCATAGTCAACAACTAAGTTCTTGACGTTTTCACAGGTCACCTATCGCAAAAAGTCCATGTAGACAACTTCAACGCACCTTGTGTTTCCATGCTTCCTCGACAGTCGACCTTGATTGAATTATGATCCTAGCTCGGTTATGATCTGCTGCATTAGTTCGCCATACTCACCATAGCATGAATCTTTCCTCATCTCAAGTGGCCGTAGAGCTTCTACTCCTTGGGCTATTCTAGAATGGCTGGTTATCAAATTTCGAAGCTCGAAGCTTGAAGAACTGGTTTATTCAACAGGGAAGTATGTAACATGCATGACCACTTCAGAAATCACAGCTTAAGCATTTCTTAAGCGTCTAATGTCAGAATGCTTATAAGCCAGAAAAGCGGGGTCGCCAGTGGTATTGGTCCACTCGTCACCAACGTTTTGGCGTGATATTCCTACTTGTAGATACCCACGCGAGCCTCACGAAAGTTCTAGCGGTGAACACGCGGCGTCATAGGTGGAGCGTACATACCCAAAACAGCCTTGCATTATGTTAAGTCACCCGGTCGGTGTACCTTGAACACAGGCGAATGTTACCGGCCTATTTAGGAGTCATACGATGTACGGAGGCCTAGTAATGATCGATTTGTTGATGCACATTATTTCACAATTATCTCTCACATTGTGCACTTCAAGTTGTGGTCCTTGGGTATCAAGACATCTTCAAACATTGGTGTGTCACATGAATAATCTGTAAGTTCCCCCAATCCGTTCGCCTCTCACTGGCCTTCCGCTCTCGGTCGGCATCAGCGCGGCCTTGTCTGCCATCCCGTCACGAATGCCTGCAATCCATACTGAGAGCTCCGCGATCGAGTAGCCCTCACGCACTCGCTAATTGCGCCCGGGAACATGACCCTATCTACTGGGACCCCGCCTCTTCCATGTGTGAAGGAGCAGCCTGATCCTTCTCCGTCAAGACAGCCTTCTCAGCCGTCACCTCCAGCTCAGGAGTCAACCCGACGTCCCTCCTCGCCTCAGCGAGCAGCCGGGCGTCCTCCTCGCCTGAGTGGCTCTTGAACACGCGGTCCATCTCCTCGAGCGTGGCGCCCTTGGTCTCGGGGATGAAGAACCAGACCCACACGATTCCGATGGCGAGGAAGACGGCGAAGAAGATGTACGTGCCCCACTCCCAGGCCTCGAGCATGGGCGGCGTGAAGAAGGCGACAGCAAAGTTGTTAACCCAGTTCGACGACGCGCCAAACGACGCGCCCTTGGCGCGGATCGACAGCGGGAAGATCTCGGACACGAGGGTCCAGCTGACGGGGCCCCAGGTGAAGCCGAAGGCGAAGATGTAGACCCAGATGAACGCGACGGCGACCCAGCCGGCGTCGGCGTGGTGCGTCCAGTCGTCCTGGAACTGGCTGACGATAATTCCCGCGATGACCATCGACGCCCACATGAGGGCCGACCCGAACAGCAGCATCGGCTTTCGCCCGACGCGGTCGATGAGCAGCATGGCGGGGATGGTGGACACCATGAAGACGACGCCCGTGACGCCCGTGGCGAGGAGCGCCTGCGTCGTGCTCGACATGCCCAGGCTGAGGAAGACGTTGGAGGCGTAGTAGATGATGGCGTCGATTCCGCTCCACTGTGATACACAAATGCGTTAGACACTGGGTGGCAGCTCGATAGCACGGCACGACTGGGAGAATGCTTACCTGCTGGAAGAACATGACGAGCCACGCCGTCGCGACACGCTTGGCGTTGTCCCACGACCTCACGATGTTGTAGTACTCGGCCAGCTGCCTCGTCCAGACGCTCTTCTTCTCCTTGGCGGCGAGCGTGGGGAACGACTTGGCAAAGTGGCGCTCCTCGAACAGGCACTCGGCCTTGATCTCGCGGTACTCGACCTGGATGAGCTCGTTGTCGGCGGGGAGGCTGCGCAGGTACGCCAGGGTGGAGATGGCCTCGTCGTCGCGGTCCTGCTTGATCAGCCAGCGCGGGGAGAAGGGCAGCCACCATATGCCCAGCGCGAGGCACACGGCTGGTATCCCCTGGATTATGGTGGGCAGCTGCCAGGCCAGGTTGGACTGCGTGTCGCCCTGGCCGCCGATGTTGTTGCTCGCGTAGCCGATCCAGAAGGATAACATGATTCCGAAGATGGTAGCAAATTGGTAGAAGGACACCAGGAATCCACGTAGCTCGGGAGAAGACAGCTCGGCGTTGTACAGAGGCCTATCTGGATCGTTAGCATCCCCCAACCATCATCGAATCCGCACAAAAGTAGGCAGGCAGGCGTTCACTCACCCAACACCACTGAACGTGCCGACCCCTATACCAGTAAAGAACCTCCCAGCATAAAGCATCGCAGGGTTGTGGTACGACGCGCCACAGTACAGGTAGCTCCCGAGGATGACCCACAGGCAGGCCATGAACATGGTGTACTTGCGCGAGAAGACCTCGCCCAGCACGCCGGCCGACACGGACCCGATGATGCCGCCGACCTGGAGGATCGACGTCAGCCAGCCCGTGGCGCTCGACGAGTCGACCACGGACGGGAAGTTGTCCTTGAAGCGGTGCATGACCAGCGACTGGCCCAGCACGCCCTGCTGGTAGCCATACTCGAAGCCGCCGAAGGACGCGAAGAGCGCGATCACCACGATCTTGGGGTTGCTGAACACGGTGTGCCACCGGTTCTTGTACGCGATCTTGGTGCGGGCGTCGGCCGCTGACACGGCGGTTGGCTCCATGGGTTGTATGTATTTGTGGGTATGGGCAGAAGTGGCCGTGCTCAACCTTCTGTGGCGATGATGTACAACATCAAACTACATCGTGGGAATTTTCTTCTCACCCAGCATTTCGGGAACGCCCTGGTTCTTAGTATCTTAAGCTTTTCCGCGTAGCTGGAATACCTGGATAATCTCCGACGCAACTCTCCTCAGGTGATGTCCATATGCCGCCCCGAGGCTCCCCCTCACCATATTCACCATATTCGGGCCTGTTCTGCACCAGTTGCCTGGGGTATGCTGCGATGCTCGATGTACCCCGGCAGACGCACGACCAACCAGACAACCCGCCGCCGTCCGCATCTGGGGTAGTTCCTCCCCAGACCCACCCAAATCCGGGGGGTCAGACAAATACGCCCACTCGCTGCTCCGCTCTGAGGAGCCCTCGACTGATCCACTATGTTGGGGTTCTGACACATATTGGCCGACCCGCCAAGGCGTTCGCGGCAATGGAAACCGGAATCGCAAACTTGGTAATGTTACGCGGGGACCGTAATCGCAATGGGTGGCATACACAATACTGGAATCGACATGCATCGTTACATCGCGGGCGGAAATAAAAATCCAGTCGTGCCTGGGAGTGTGACGCAGTCCCTTCGAGTTAGCTCTGATTCTGTTGATGTCCAATGGCTGGCAAAGTCAAATTGAATCTGTTTGTTTTTTTATCAAGTCTGATGTCCTCTAAGCCCCGATTTAAGTCAACACACTTGGAACCCCATCTATCATGAATAAGTGAGAGTAGAGTATAACCCCACGACTAGTCTCAGACTTCATCGACCTTCTCAGGTAATGATCCTTACTCCTTCTTCGCCGTAAACTCCCGAGGCAAACGATTCTCGTCCTTCTTGTAGGGGTGGCCGGCCTCTTCCCGAGCCATGTCGTTCACCCACTTCTCATTCCCGTCCAGGCCCCCCTTCCCACCGCCCTTCCTGACGCCGACCTCGGCCCACTTGGCCGCCAGGTAGAACCACGAAAGCGCGTTGCCGACCGTGCCGACCTCATCCGACACGCCGGTCCGTGCCTCGTAGCTCATCTTCTTGTGCAGCTCGTCGTCCGTGAACAGGTCGACCAGGTGCTTCGCAACGGCCGCCCAGTCTCCCGGCTCGACCAGGAACCCGTTGACGTCGGGCTTCACCTGCAGCGGGATGCCGCCGGTGTTGGTGACGATCACGGGACGACCCGCGTGCAACGCCTCCGAAACCTTGACCTCAAACCCTTCGCGGGTGGACAGCTGAAGGATCACATGTGCATTGGCGATGATGGTGTTGAGTAGCTGGTCGTTGGGATCCAGGCGCATAACACTGATGTCGCCGGCCAGGTGAGGATATGTCCTCTCGATCTGGATCATCGTTTGGTCGTAGATGATACTTCCGTCGGGATCATCCACAGACCCATTTCCGCAGACCACGAGCTGTGGGGTGTCGGTGATTCCGCGTTGGTCCAAAAGGCGACGGAACTCTGCATACGAATCGATCACTGTGGGGATGCCCTTGGCCGGGTCAAACCTTGCAACCTGTGCGATGTACTTGCGAGCAGGGTAGTGCAGCTCCGTCATGCGCTGTGCATGACAGGCATTGTTGTAGCTGTGACCATAGTAACCAGAGTCCCACTGGTTGAGCGGCTTGTTGAGGCCATCAAGCCAATCGGTAGTGGCCGGCAGGTAGGTGACCTTCTCTTTCGGGACATTGTGAGGAACAAAGGACGGGATTGGATGGCTGATGAACATGTCCGCATGCTTGATGTTTGCCCACAGGAAATCCCACGTGTCGGCCTGCGGGCTGCCCTCCTTGGCGACGAGATCAGTCCTTATCTGGATATGCGATCTGTACAAGACAGGGCGGTCCGGGGTCCGCTTCTTGATCAGGGGAATCAGCCCAGGCATCTGTGGGTCATCGATCATAACGACATCAGCTCCGCCCTCCTCCGGCCTGCAGAGGGGGCCGCCATCCGAGAACCAATAACGTTCAGCATTGTCCGTGATCCAGTCGATAATACTAGCCTTTTCGTCGTCTGAGATGCGCTGGTCCGGGTGACTGACACCTTGAAGAATGTTGTGCATATTCTTGGTGATACGGAAGACTCCAGGCCGAGGCTTTGGCACGTACCAGGTCAAATCAACGCCCACGAGCCGAGCGAAGCGGACGAGCGCATGACGCATCAGGGCAACACCGCCCCCTTGCGGCGTGCTACTGAAGAAGGCAATCTTGGTCTTCTTGTTGCGAAGTTGGTCGGCGTACTTGACAGTAGAAGCCCAGGTCGGTGGTGTGCACGTATCCTTGTGGTTCTGTATGTTAGTGAGGTGAGCACGGAATGCGGCATCAGTCTGAACGACACCGCGAAAGCCGACCTGGAGAAGCGGCACTAGAGATGGTCCGAAGTGCCTGGAGGAGTGTCAACAGAGGATGGCCGCGGGCTTGTTTGATTCGATGTGCTCAAGGCAGTTTTGTTGGGGCAGCACGGCAGGGTCGGGAGTTACCTACATGATACACTTGCGGGCCATGCTGTCAGCCTGCTCATCCACCCGCTTGATGTCCCAGAAACTCTTCTCCTTGTTTTCCTCATCCGGGCGTAGCACGATGGGGACAATATCGATCTCTAGCCAGAGGCGGGAGCATAGAGAGGGGCTCATATACTTGACAGTGGCGGGTAGGCCGGCACCTATGAACTTTGCGAAATTCTCATGCTCGTAAGCTTGCAAGGCAGAGATGACATAGTCGGCGATGAGATCATGGCCAGTCTTCACGGAGTCATCGAGAGTAATGTGCTTGACGGAAAAGTCAATGAGATAGACGGTGTCATGGATTGCGAGGGCCACGGCCGCGGTATGGTCGTTTGCGAACACGGCGGAAATTCCGACATAGAGGGTTGTAAGATTTGCTTTGAAATGCCCTTCCTTGTCGAGGATCTGGCTCATCTGCCTCTGACGATGCGTTGAAGCCCCCGTCGAGAAGCGGCGACCAGGTGCATCGGATGAAGTCATATTGCTGACAACCTGTGGGCGGACAATTCAAGGGGGGCTCAAAGTTTAGGATTCACAGGAGAGTGTCGCGTGTCCTCGGCAGAGAAATTTAGCAGGCGTTAGAAGGGGAATAGGATGTGAGAATGAAGAGTGTACGACTGTCTGCCGGACCTGAGTGAGGAAGAGAAGAAATTGAAGAGAGGATCACTGTAGGTAGCGATGTCATGTATATATTAACGAGACCAGGCCTGAGGGCGGTGGGCTGGGGGATGTTGGCCACCGAGTTGGACAGGATATCCAGCCTGCAGGTGCAGCTGTAGCATCCCTGGGCCCCAAGCTCAGCAAAGACGAGGGTGAGATCCAAATACGTGGAGCCGTGCCGTCACCCATCCAGTCTGCAGTCGCGTTTGTTGCACTCGCTCGCAAGTCGCAGCTACAGCTAGGTCCGCCTGCACCTGCAGGCTAGGCGCCATGTGGCGTTGGCAGATGCCCGATCTGTCCGTTTCGCCCGTTTCGCAGGGCTGTGTCCACCAGCCGCAACGGAAACGGTGGGGAGCAGCTTGGGTTGCCTGTAAGACATCAGGAGACCAACATCTGGGCAGATGAATCGATCTCCTTGTCTCATGCTTGGAAGCATCTAGTCTACCAGCTTTGCCTGCGTGGCCCAAAGGACCTCAAAGCTGGCTTTGGCTCAACGTACAGCCATGCTTGGCTGGCTCACATGGCCAGACTGCCCTGCTTATGGACCCAACATTCGACTCGGGAGGCAAGACGAGATTTGGGTCGTGTCTGTGACGAGCCAGAAAGCCAGAAGCGGTGTGATTCCCATCGGCACAATGTCACACAAGGCCGTGCAACGTCTCGCGGCTTCGTCTGTGTGCTACCGCCAGCGGGATCTCGACATGACCCGGCCACTTGAAGGCGCAGCAGCTGTTGATACTCGTCTTTTTTTGCACTCTTGTTACTTTTTCTGTTCGACGGCAGCCCACCAGCCTCTGACACCGCTGACACAGCAGATGAGTCCGGCGCAGCACCCGTGGGCAGGATCGTGAGATCGAACCACAATGGACCAGTACATGAGATCAGCACGGGAAGGGGGCAAGGAAAGGAAGGCGAGCAGCATTTCGCGGGTTGGACAAAGTGGTAACCAGCCCGCAGTCAGGAGCCAGCAGCCAGCAGCCAGCTTTTTACTGAGCTGACGCCATCATGTCGAAGGACTGTGCTGAGGTGCAGTCCTCCGTTCAGTCAGTCTTGTTACTGTACACATTACGGTGGCTCCCCCATGGGCGGTGGGGTGACGTTGGCCTTAGCTCATTGTCAGGTGGAGCCGCACCTCGCCATTTTCCGGGGATGGAAGAGTCTGGCCGACATGACGAAAAGCACACCCCCCGGGCGGACGGATGTGATGAGTCGGCCCAAAATAGCTAGCGTCCCCGCTTATTTCTTTCCTCCAAAAAATATATCTTGCTCATTTTTAAGGAAGGTAAAGAGTACCGGGTTGGGACTTAAGTAGTACTTAGGCAAGGCCTATTGGCTACTTATTAACGCTTAACCCAGCGCCTTAATCATCCCTTTCTTAATTTAATTAATAGCCTGGGAAAAGTGAATTTAATTGGGAGGTTTGGGGAGGGTTTGAGTTGTGATTTGGAGTATTGTTAATCTTAGCCGTTTTGGGCGGACTCATCACATCTGTCCGCCCGGGGGGTGTGCTTTTCGTCATTCCGGAGTCTGGCACTCTGGTTGAGCAAGGCAGGCACCAGGGAGTCAGGGCAGGGCAAGCAGGGGCAGGGGAAGGGTTGTGGGTAGGAAGCTGCCAGGAACAGGGAGCAGGTGGGGCTACCTCAGGCAGTTCTTGACCACCAATTGGATGCAGAAGCTCTAGCAGCTACATGCCGAGCATGCCTCAGCGCTGAGATGTTTCTCGGCCTCCCCAACCACGTTGCCATGAATTCTTTGTGATAAAATAAACCACATTAAGTTCGTGTAGGGAAAGGCTAATTTTGAATAAAGTTGGCATTTAAATGATGCCACTACATTGTGGCCGAGTATGTAGTCAAGGAAGGCACCGAGACAACGTGCAGCGCTGTCAACAAAGACCAAGCAGGCACCATCAACTACTCACTTCCAAGTTATTTGAAGGCAGCACGTTACCTATACAGGCAGCCTCAGGCTCCCCAATGCATGCCTGTTGGGCTTCTACGAGCTTTTATAGCTCCCCGACACCTTTCGTTGGGGCTGATAAATTTCAACCCATCAGCTGAGCCTGCATTTACTCCTCCACTCAGTCTCTCTCGTTTCGTTTGTCCACATCATGCCTTCCACCATGGCAGGAGTAAACAGCCACGACATCAACACAAACAAATCTGTGATAGGAGCTGATCAGCCCACAAACCCATCCAAAATGCCAGCAAATGGACCCACCTTCCATCTCTTCCGGCAACTCCCATACGAGCTACGCCTTGAGATCTGGGAGACGGCCGTCTTCGACCTCCCATCGCGGGTCTGCTCCTTTAATGAAGTCATCCAGCTTCATTTCAGGAGTGGAGTGCTTGATTGGAGCCACCCAAGCAGTCTTGTTGTTTTCGACTCGCCTTCATTGCGATATGTCTGCCAGGAGTCCCGCCAAGTCGCACTCAAGCACTCCGCCACCGCTGGCTGGACGATTTCTGGCACTACGCACCCCTTCCGATACTACGACGCCCGTGGAGGCATTCTCTACATAGACAATTTTAGAAGGCTCCCTAGCCTGGAGAAATCTTTCAGAACGCAGAACCATGGCGAGACCGATGAATTCAACGCATCGGCTGCTATGAGGGTCCGACAAGCCCGCCACGTTGTCATACCGTGGAAATCATTCCAGTTGGAAAACTACTTGTCATGGCAAGATATCGAGCGTGATGAGGGCTTCACCTATTCCTTCGTTTCCGAGTTGATCCGACTTTTCCCACGACTTGAGGAAATAACAGTTGCAATTTCACAGACGGACGTGGCAGACACCGTCGCCTCACGCCAGTGTCGGTCCACTTGGGAACCTCCCCAGCGCCCATGCAAACTGGGAGCATTTGCAAGATTTGAGCCGACGAGCGAAGAGCAGCCAGAGATAACTGTTGTGGACAATGCGTATCGCGAGGAACCTTTGAGATCACTCTACCGCCAGGTCGGGAGGATCAGTGGCTCCTTTGAAAGAGCGGCCAACATCATCGCTGCCACTATCGGCACTCAGCGTCTACCTGCACCCATGATCGCCCATGTTTACCAACTTTCCCAAGGCGCCGATGCGGGTTACAAATGGCAAGAGATACCTGGCACACGATGAAGGTGGGCATGCAAAATTTGGAAGCGGCGTCGACGGGCCGGTTGTGGTAAATTATTCCGATACCTGCCAATCCAACATGGGAATTCCTATCATTCAGAGATATCTGAAGAGTTGGACGTCGAGATGAACAAGGCTAAAAGTGCAGCTGTTAGTAAAGATTCAGGTATCACCCAGTGTCGCTCAGTGGCTTTGTGCGAGGATGGACAATCTGGAAGAAGGAGGCAGGGGGTTGCTGGACCAAAAGTGCCTCGTGAAGGCGAAGAGACAAAAGAGTCGTCACATTATTTGTCATTGTTCTTTCTGGAGACAATGTGTACTCGCAAGTTCTGCGCGTGGGACGCCTGAACGACCCCTACCTCGCATTCACTACGTAATGTTTGTACCCACCATAACCTTGTTATACCCCTGATAGTCAACCTCATGGCACACCCTGAAAGCCCGCGCTATTGCTTTCTCTTTTCTCAAAAGGAATCAGAGGTAGAATAACTCACGATCTATCACGTTCTCCGCGGTGACACCTCCAAGTACGGGCGGGTCCGACTCGGAGAATTCCAGGAACCACTCCATCAAATCCGGAATGGTATCAAACGCCCGCGAATTACTTTGATCTGGCCATACGAATTTCCAAGCCCAACTATCATCCGACTCCTGTGCATATACACAGGTCCAATCGCAGTCTACTGTCGAGCCCAGGTTCCATCCTGAGGCAACCCTCTCGTCCACAGCATGTTTTCCAGGTATGTCGCTAGGCGCCAATATACGAGAAGCAATCTCGGAATGATTCTAAATAGACCCGTCACCCCAGAAATTCTCTGCATGCTCGTTCTGGTCCTTCGGCAAGCCCTGGACCGCGAATGCCGAGTACGTGTTTGGCCAAAACTCGGAATTCCTCCGGGACCGAGATGGTGTCCTTGACCTCATCAGGCGCCTTTTCCTTCAAGGCGGCTTCGAGGGCTTTGAAATAGGCTTCGGCCAGACTGGCACGTTCCTCCGGGTCGATATCACCCCCAGCTGTACCATCTAGAGAGAGTTTCAGTGCCAGCTCGTCGTAACGGTCTAGGAGCTCTGTTGGCTGAGTCAGGTCGTCCAGCGTGTCCTGGACGACGTCTCCGAGTTGCCCAATCCGCTCTTGGTTCATCTCGTCCTCGGTGAATTCGGATTCGGTTGTCTCGTCCTCAAAGTCAGCGTTCACGACAGCATCGACATAAACTTGGATAGCACGCTTATTCCTCTCCGCTGAGGTTTTGCGGTAGCTGGCAAGCGCAGATTCGATCTCTTCTGGAAAGGACTTCATGGTGGATTTTGTGTGGATCTCAACTATGCCCGAATTTGTCCGTTCGGGGATGTCGGTGAACAAAGAGACCAAAATTGGAGGGAGAGATTGTGGGATTCATGTTCACTTTACTGACAATCCCACGTGTAAATTTTCAAGACTGTGGTTAATAGAGTGAAACTGACAGAAGCTTGATCGCTGTGAAAAGCTCTCGCTTCATTTCCGCCGCATACATGCCAAGACAGTCTCGGTCTCGCACTATAATGGCGTACCAGCTAACAAGGCTAAGGGTCCCGATGCAAGAGTCGAGAGTAAGGATAAAGGTGTGGTCGCTGTTCCACACATACTCATTTGTCCATGGAAATCGTGACAGTTGTTGGTGAGATTGATGCGAACATGTATTCTATGCTCTCTCTACGGCTTTGAAAAAAAGGTTACTGATTGGATGCAATCGCTTAGTATCGCTTTCACATCATTAGATTACCTGCGAGGCCACAGAACATTGGGATAATCCTCAAAATCCTTCACTGTGCCATACACTTTACTTAGATCATCATCCAGCATCTCAGGGGCGTCCAAGAAATTCCCAACTTTCTTTGCAAACTGGTGCCTTTTCAGCGCAATACTCCAAGCAAAGCTCGAGTGCGCCACGCCAGCAAAGTCGGACCCCTTCAGTAACACGAGGTAGTCGACGAGCGCCTGCTGGTCGAAGGTCAGGGCGCGCAGCTCGTCCAGATCAGTCCCGTTCAGGAGGTCCACCTTGCTCACGACCGGGTAGTTGTGCGGCGCGGGCACCTTGGCTGCATCGGCAGAGAGGCGGGCTATCTCAGCAGGGTCCCCAGACGCAATGTATATGGCAGCCGGGTTCGATCGTGGTGCCTGCTCCAGGTAGACCTTGACCTGGTTCCTGTAGTGCGAGTAGAACCAGTAGTCGCCCGCGCTCTCCCACGCCTTCTTGGAATCGGCCTCGGTGCGCAGGTGGACGCCGAAGAATGCATTCGGGAGGATGTCGTCTTGCAGGTCGACGTCGAGCGAGAACCGCTCTGCCAGGGAGGAGAGCACTTTGGTGGCCAGGGCGCGGGTGTCGTTGCGAAATTGGAGGACGGAGGCGAATGTATGGGCGAAGGCCTCGCCGTCTGAGTAGATCGGGTATGTCATGTATGAACGCTGTAGGTTCACGATGACGAAGCTTGGTATGCCCTTCCCTGCGGTGGCGATCTGCGTGTCCAACCATGAGTAAAATTGTCCACGCCAGGCACCGGGATCTGGAATGCCAGTCCGCGGGACGCCACCCTCGACAAGGGACTCAGGTTTGAGACTCAGAATCAAGCCGTCCTTTTCTTCCAGACCATCCCTGGCATCCTCGATCGTGTTATAAACCTTTGATTGCGGACAGTAAAGCGACATGGACCCCAAGAAATGAGGCGTGTCAAACATATATGAGAAGTCTGCCGTCTGGCCAGTCTCAATGGTACCAATATCTTCAGCGGACCGGAGCACAATCCGCGGGAGGACAAGGCTCGCCCCGGCTTGGATAGCATAGCGAACGCAGTTCAGAATAGAGTTGCGGATGTTCCCAACACCACCGTACGACTCGTTGCATGTGAAAACCAGGCTGTCGTTCCAGGCTGTTCGATTGCATACTGCACTGATGGCCTCTTGCCCAAGGAGATGGGCCGGGGCGACGTCGGGCGAGGACGCGGGCCTTGCGGACTCGCCCGAGGGGTATGTCAGTGTTTGGATCCGCGCTGCGCCGTCGAAGGGGATCAAATTCGGATATTCGTAGACGACAGCTGCCCAGAACCAGATCAGAGTGATGGCAACGAGCCATGCTCTAGGGCCTTTGATACCGGCCTGCGGCATGATCATGGCTGGCTTCTTAGGCAGGGGCGATAAGCACCGGCGCTGGCGTCAGAGGCTTCCAAAAATCAAGACATGACATGCTCCATGATATTGCGTCTGAAATTCGATGGCCCATCTCGATGGACGAACTTGTCGGGAAGGAAGGGTTGAGATTCCCAGAAGACAAGATGTGAGCGGAAGGACGTCAGAGCGATTCAGTGTAGGAACCTTGGAAGTTTGGATGAAACCATCGATGGGAGTCACCGCACGGGCAGACGCCATGATTCGACTCCGTGGCCAAGCGTGTCTAAATGAACTGACAGACTACCCCTGATGGGCAAAGCCGGAATGAGTCAGTCGCGTTGTCTAATTGTTTTCCTTGGTTTGAAAAGGTATCCCAGGCTTCATCCAGCGTTTGCGCCAATTGGCTAGCTCGAGGTCTACGCAAGAGTCGTCTACAGCTGACCAGACTACCATATCCAGGGTTGTAAATTAGTTTGTTAGTTTTAGTTAATTTAGTTAGTTTTCTTAGTTAGTTAATTTAGTCTTAGTTAATAAGATTAACTAAAAACTAAAATTAGTTTTAATTTTTAAAATTAACTAAAACTAAAAAATTAAAACTAATTTTAATTTAACTAAATTAATTAAAAAAATAATTTAAAAAATAAAAAATAGGAACTTAATTTTAATTAAATTAAATTAATTAAAGAATAGCTTGAAAAATAAATATTTAATTAATTTAAATAATAAGTTTTAAATATATATATTTTTTTTAAAAAAAGAAAACTAATAACCTAAATCCTTATTATAGCTTAACGATATATAGCATTAATTTATTTTTAAAAAATAAAATATAATATATTTAAAATAAATTATTATTAAGGGGTATAATATTTATTACTAACTTATTATATTTTATATAATAATAAAATAAACTTCTTTTTTTAAGGTTTTTAAATTATTTTTTATATATTCTTTTACTTTTAAAGTATATAATATTTATTTTAAATTATATTAAATTTTACTTTTCTTATAATATAATTTTTATTTATATAATTAATTCTTTAAAATACTTATAACGTTTTAAAAAGAAAGGTTTTAATTTATTTATATTAAATCTATTAAATGGCAATTACTTATTTAAAACATAACTACCCCCCCCTTCAATACCCCCCTACCTTTAGCGTTACTACCTATATATAATCTTTAATATCTTTTTATATAATAAGGTTAAAATTATAATAAAAATACTTTTAAATAACTTTTATTTTTAAGTTAAGGAATATAATATTATTAAAAATTGTTTACTCTTTAAAAAAATAAATATAAAAAGATATCTTAGTTTTACCTTATATATAAAAATTAAATAATACTTTATGTATTTATATAATAATAATAAATGTTTTCTTAATATAATAATATTACTTTTATATATTATAAAAAATCTTTAAAATTATTATATATTGTTGGCTGGGTCACGTATTGCAATACGACGTTTAGTTAATATAGTGGTTAATTATTGTTAACTATAAAAGGAAGGAAGGCAAAAGGCCTAACTATGCTAGCTATTTTATATATAGCGCTAAGGCTGCTGCCTACCGGGCATCTTAATGGATTAAAGCTGCTTAATCCTAAATAGTCCTTTATATAAACAACACCCATTATTCCTATATTAGCAGTCTTTATTTTATAAATGCATATTACTTTTAAAAAGTATAAAAAAAAGAAAGGTATTAAGTAAAATTAAACTTAAGGTTAAAAGGTAATTAATTAATTATATATATAAGTTAAATTATAAATATGCTATTATTTCGCTGCATTATATTATTATAAAAAGCAAGTATATAAAAAGGCTTAGATTGTTATTAAAAGGTTAAAGGTTAGTTAATTTATTAAAGTATATAATTAATAAAAAAAGGTTAATTAAGTATATATATTGAAAACGAGCTACCTAAATAATGGAGGATAAGTTTTGCTAAATCCTCTTAAGAATAACTTAAGGAGGAGCTTTAATGTAATAAAAAGGGAAGATAAGAATAAAAAAAAATTAAAAAAAGGGAAAAAATAAATATTTTAAAAATTCTTAAAAATAAGAAAAGCTTAATTAAAGCATTAAATATATAAGAAAAGAGAAAAGTTAATTTCTTAAAAAAATATTTAAAATAAGCATAAAAGCTAACTTTTTATAGCTAGCTAAAATTTAACGCAATATTATTTCTTATATAATTCCTTATACTTATTAATTTACCCCTTTTTAAATACTTTATAATAAATATTATAAAAATTATTAAAATAAAACTTTATTATCTTTAATTAAGCTTTTAAGTTTTAAAATTTACTTTATTATAATTTTAATTATTATTACTATTTTTAATTCCTTATTTATTTATTTTATTATAGCTTTTACTTTTTTTTAAAAGCTTTAAATATTTTTAAAATTTATTTAATAATATATTTATTAATTATATTCTTTTAATTATTAAAGTTTACTTTAATAATTAATATTAATATAATTATTAAAAATTTAAATACCTTTATAAAATAAAAAGCAAATTTATTCTTTTTTTTAATTATTATATTAAGCATAATACTTTAGCTTTATTAATTTTTACTTTTATTTCTTATAAAGCTTTTGTTTTTACTTTTATTTCTTATAATACTTTTATTTTTAATATTTATGCTTTATATTTAATTACTTAGTTAACTTATTTATAAGCCTTTTAAATTATTCTTAAGTAAACTTTATTATTATTTTAATTATTTTAAGTTAATTAATATACTTTAAGTTTTATTTATATTTATTATTAAAATAAGTAAATAAAAAAGATTTTTATATATATTAAGGTAAGCATTTCTTATTAACTTTAAAATATTTTATAATATAATGCTTAAGCTAAAAGCTTATTTAATTAAAATTATATTTAATTAATTTTAAGCTATTTAAAAGTTTATACTTTATTATATATTAAATATTTAAAATTAAATTATTAAATTAATTTATATTAAAGATATTATTTCCCTTATACTTTTTTTATAATTAATAATAATCTTAATATATTATAATTTAAATAGCTATTATTAAATAATATTCCTTTATAATAAAAGCCTACTTTTTACTTTAATTACTTTTATATTATTAATCTTAATAAGGGAAATTAATATAAGCATTTAAATAGCTTTATTAATTTTATTAAGCTTTAATTAAATAGTAAATATTTAAATAGTAATATTAATAATAACTTTAAATATCTTATAATATATAATTTTAATTAAAAAAGCCTTAGCTTAATTTTATATTTTTTAATTATTCTTTCCTTAATTTTTTTTAAAGTAATTTTTAATAAACTTAATAATATATTATTTATAAAATATTTTATTAATTTATCTTAATCTTAATATAAACTTTTTATTAAAATCTTATATTTTATTTTTTAAAGTAATTATTAAATATTTATAAATAAATACTTTAGCATTTTTATTTATCTTACTTTTCTTATTTCTTAATGCAAAATTATTTTATAATAAGTAATAATTCTTTATTTTATTAAAAATTACTATTATTTAATAATTAAATATATAAATAAGTATAATAATAAATTTATAATTCTTTATTAATTTATATTATTAATATTTCTTAAATAAAGTATAATTATAATATAAAGATTTTTTAAGTAAAAATATAATATTTTAAAAGTTAAAAAGTTATTAAGTTATAAGGGCTATAATATGCTAAGTTCTTAATTTTTTGCATTTATAAAGCATTTTTTTTATATTAAAAAGATTAAGGGTAAAAAAGGCTTAATATTATTTTATTAAATTTATTAACTTAATTAATTTTCTTAGCTTAAGATAAAAATTAATACTTAAGAAATATTTTTATATTATCTTTATAAGCTTATTATTAAATGCTATTTATTTTATATTAAAAAATAGTAATTAATTAAAAGTTTAGAATTATTAAATATTATTTAAGTAAACTTTATTTATAATAATTCTTATTTTAAAGAAATTTTTAAAAAAGTTAGCATTTACTTTTTAAGCAAAGTTTTATTAATTTTAAATATTTATAATATTTAAAAATTATAATACTTTATTAAGTAAGTTTTTAAAGTTATTAAAATAAGAAAGTTTTATAATTATTAATGCTAAATTATTTTTTTTTAAATTAATAAGCTTAATTATTAAAATTAAGGCATTAAGATTTTAAAATATTTTATAATATAAAAGTAATTAAAATTACTTTTTTACCTTGCCTTTTTAGCTAAAAGATATTTTAGCTTTTAATTATAAAGAAAAGAAATAAAGAAAATAAATAATAAAGTAAAAAGTAAATAATAAAAGTTAAGTAATAAAAAGGGGAAATATAGCAATAAAAAGAGCCTTGCACTTATAAGAATTATTATATAAGTAATTAAAATAAAAAAAATTAAAAATAAAGAAGAAATATAATTAATATTTAATTATAGCTTAAAGTAGCTTTTATAAATAATTATTATTTATTTTTAAATAAGAATTAAATAAAGAAAAAGATTAATATATTAAAAGTATATTATTATTAAAATAGCTAGGTAATAGCTAACCTTTAACCTTTAATTAATAATAATATAAAGATAAAAAGAAAAAGAAGAAAAGAAAGAAAAAAAGAAGGCTTAGCTATAAATAAATAAGTATAATAATATATATAAGCTAAAATAGTAAAAACTAATAACTTACTACCCTTAAGTTAAATAATTGCATTAATTAAAAGAAAGGAGTAATAAAAAGGCTTATAAGTTATTATTAAAAGCTATTAATTTATTATTTTATTAATAATTAAAATAAAAGGATATATAATTTCTTATTTCTTTTAAATAATAATTAATTGCAAAGTATTCCCTTTTTAATTTATAAGTTTATTAAGTATAAATTAAAATAAATTACTTAATTAAAATTTCTTTATAATAAAAAGATAAATAACTTTTTTATAAATAAGGAATTAAAGGTAAGTAACTTCTTTTTAATAATAAATTAATCTTAATTAAAAATAA